TAATGGTGAGCATTTGATTTCTTATGGTTTTATGTCCTGAGACAACAATGCAGAGTCTCTAACCCAGAACCTGAACAGACACAGAATACAAGACTGTAAGAAAAGTCCGGGCTTCTTCAGGATAAAATTTTTGTAAGGGTGGTCTGAACACAACAGGAACTATTTGGGCAATACTTGCCACAGTTGACCAAACATTAATAAAAAAATGATGCTTCACACTCCACAAGTTGTCAAAGATAGAAAAACAATGCAGAGTCTCTAACCCAGAACCTGAACAGACACAGAATACAAGACTGTAAGAAAAGTCCGGGCTTCTTCAGGATAAAATTTTTGTAAGGGTGGTCTGAACACAACAGGAACTATTTGGGCAATACTTGCCACAGTTGACCAAACATTAATAAAAAAATGATGCTTCACACTCCACAAGTTGTCAAAGATAGAAAAGGAGAGCTGATTTCTCCATATTCACCTTTCTATTCTCTCTGACTTGACCAGAGAGAATTTTAGACTTTTAGAAATGAATTTTCACTGATGCATGACTGCCAAAGACCTAGTAAGATGGTGTGAGGTGGTCCTCAACATGATTCTCTCCTCCTTGTATATGTAGGGCCTGTGTGGAGCCAAGGGTCCAGGCCATTACACCAATAAGGAGATATTGCTTCTCCTTCCCTGCTGGTACCATGCTCCAAAAGTTATCAGAGTTTACTTCCAGGAAAAGAACCATTACAAGTTAGACCACAGATGGGACCTGCACTTCCACATCACTGCCATGATTGGCGTACATGAACCACTCTCCACTTTTGGCAGACTGGTATCAGGGGGCTAAACAAGGGCCTGAGCACATACACTTGCTGGCATTTGTAGCTAAACCACAACACAAGGACAGCCTGCTAAACAAAAAAAGTCCTCAATTCTCACCAGTGAGGCATCTATGTACATCAGAGTGTGATACACACAGAAGGCCTCAACTGACCAAGTTTTGGAGAATAAAAGACTGTAGTGTGTAGGATGGGACTCTCATATGGAACCTCACCCACTCAAAGCTCAGGGACCATAATGGAAGAGGAGGCCAAAAGACTGTAAGAGCCAGAGCTCGTTTGTGAATGTAAGGAGGTGGAGGCTTCCAGGGCATGGAGGCTTGCTCATGTGCACCTGCAGCAGTGGCATTGAGTGAGACCCATGACAGCTCAATTAAATAAGGGTCCAAAGAGGAGGTTAGAAAGAGGTGGCAGGTCAGCACTAGAATAAGAACTATTTGAGACTGATTGCTACTGGGTGGGGAAGAGTATGACTTACAATCACTGGATGGGCTGACTACACTTCAGTGGACACATTTACATTGAAGGACATTCAGGTACAAACACCTGAATGAGTAGGACTCAGTGTGTTTGGCAAAATGCATAGGATTCGGTGGCGGGATGGAGGAGGCATAAATGGAGGAGGGGGGTCTGGATGTGGGTGGGAAATACTGTATAAAATTTTAAAAGCTTAATAAAATAAAGTGAACACAATTAGCATCTTTTAATATGGTGTCCAAATGTCTATGTTGCAGTTAAAAATATCCAGTGATGTGAAGAACCAAAATTATCATAAACTAAATGAAAAAATAGATGCCCAAACTAAGAAAAATCAGAAGTTGAATTAACTGACAAGAGTTTTAAGACTTTCATCAAAGGGTTTCAGTAAGTGGTCAATAATTTTCTTGAAAGAGATAGAAAATTTTTCACCTAAGAAATAGAAGGCACATGAGGAAGAAATAGAAATTATGTGACTTAACTTGTCCCTACTGAGAACATTAGAGTTAAATGGGAAGAATATAGTCCTGTAGATCATTGCAATGCAGAATGCCTAATTAGCATTGTGTATTCACAATAGCTCAAACCGAAAATTTCCAGTGTTTTCATCACAGAGATTATGTTTCAGTTGTTGAACATGCAAATAACCATGTTCTGATCATTAAAAATATCTGCATGACATGAAATATCACATGGAATCCATAAATATTTATAATTATTTTTCATTATATCAGACTAATTTAAAAATCAAGACTTTAACAAACGTAACAACCAAAAACGTGATTATAAAACCAAAAGTCTCAGTCTTCAGGATGAAGAAAAGATATTATTGATGGGCTCAATAACAGGTATTGTTAGAGAAAGGAGTGGTAGATTCACGGTACAAAAATTGAGAATAAAGAGAATCAGAATTTGTGTATGTATCCACCTGTGAGATGCAAGGTGCTCCAGAATGAGAGTTAAATGACAGAGGGAGGGTGGATGAGTATTCAGAGAAATAGTGTGCGAAAGCATCTAGAACTGGTGAAAGATGTGAAAAATAATGTCCACTGATCCTGTGGACTGCAGGAGTCACACAGTTAATAACATTCTACCATGAACCAAATGACAAAACACACCACTGCTAAGATGGATCTCCAGGTCATCTTGGTTCCAGAGACGGAAGCTGTGGACACTCTTCAATTTAAAAGTCAGAAGCAATACAGAGCACGGTATTTTCTAATTAAACCTTTGAAATTAGAGACAGAAATATCATGAAAGTAGCCAAAACGAAAGCAGGTTGTGTGTAAAGGGGAAGATGAGTCTGAAGAAGAGTTTTCATCTGAAATCAAGACACCGTGTCTTTTTTAATCTTTAAAAAAAATTTTAATCTAGTATTTTAATTTTTTGTGTATGAGTGTATTGTCTGAATGCATGTTAGAGCACCTATGTTGTGCAGTGCCCACGGAGTTCAGAATAGGCCAGATCCCCTGGAATTGAATTTATAGACAACAGACAGTTGTTAGCCACCATGTGGCTACTGGGAATTGAACTGGATCCTCCACAAGAGCAGCCAGTGTTCTTAAGGACTGTCATAGCTACAGTTCTTGTCTTTTTATGTTTTTCTATTGTTGTTTGTATATTCATTATTGTGTGTGCATATGTGTGTGAGTGTGCCCAATGCTGCAGGAATCACAAAGCAAGTGTGGAGGTCAGAGGACAACCTTTCACAAATCTCTTGTCTTTTCCACCTAGTTTTGAAATGTATTTCCTCTTTTTTCTTTACTGCTGAGTACTCCAGGTCAGTGGGTCTGAGAACTTCGAGGTCTCTGTGTTCCACCCAGTCACAGTAGCACTGGGATTACAGACACACACTATTATATCCGTTGTTTAATGTGGGTTTTGGGGAGTGAATTTGTGTGGCCAGGCTTGAGCAGCAAAACTTTTAGGTACAGAGCTGTGTTGTGAGCCCTGATCTCTTCAGTACTAGTAAAGTGTTGTGCAGCCACACCCTGGGACTTTCTCTCCAGCACACGCTTTTTCTAGCACTAAATCTCATCATTTCCTCCCTCTCACTCTTCATTCCTTTCAAACCCAGGAGAAGAGTAAAGTTTCGAGGGACTCAGTCCTACGCTGTCTGAAATTAAGTCATTTTAAATATACAGAAATAATGATATAGAGGCTAAAATCTTAAACGTTAACAATTAAATATTCATTAAAGAAAAATTGGAGTTGTATTAATATGTAATAGGGCACGTTCTTGTCCATAGTTATACCATGTTAAAGTTTAGACTGACTCTAGTATCTGAACTTATCAGGCAGTTGGCTCAGAGTATGGGAACATATATCAGCTGAACCCTGGTCGCCTTAGGAACAGGTCAAAGTGTCCTGGAGTGCACGTGCTAACTGCAGATTTATGGCTTCTGTAGGTTATGCTTAGTGTGATTCTGCAAAATAGTAATTGTTACTTAATAGAGTAGAAATTGTTAAGGGACTCTCCACCTGTAAACTCGGGAACTTAAGCTTTTCACCCCAGGTTATGTTTTTTTCTGTATAAAAGCAGCCTAGAGATGGCTTGGTGCTTTACACTTGGGTTCCCGACACCCTTGTGCAGTAGCCCTGGCAAAACATTGTCTGAGTGGTCTTCTCTGGTGAAGCATCCCACTCCACAGTGTAGAACTCAGAGCAAAGATAAGAGACAAACACAGCTAGGCATGGTGGCACACACCTTTGATCCCAGCACTACAGAGGCAGAGGCAGGGGGATCTCTATGATACTGAGACCAGCCTGTTCTACATAGCAAGTTACAGGCTAGCTTGGGCTACAGGGATAGCCAGTCTTAGAAAACCAATGAGAGAGAGAGAGAGACAGAGAGAGACAGAGACAGAGAGAGACAGAGAGAGAGAGAGAGAGAAACAAACCATAGCAGGGTATTGTATAAAGATAAAACACTTGAAATAATCAATCTAACAAATAGGGAGGGCCTTACAGCTCCAGAAATTTAAAGAGAGAATTAAGCTGAAAGGGAATTTCCCATGGTTATAGACTTTAGCAAGAACAACAGCTGTGATTATGTAAATGTTCTGTACCTTGACTGTGCCATTACATTGTGTCAGTATACTGGTTGTGATATTGTACAAAAGTTTAGAGAGATGTTACTTTTGAGGGAAATGGGGCAATGTACAAAAAGAATCTCTTTGTTATCTCCTAAAATTGCATGTGAATTTCTAACTACTTAAAAAAAAAACTTTTTAAAAACAATGACGGTGCCATCAGAGATACGTAAAATGCTCTTCATTTCCAGGAAGCTGTAAACATTGATTAAAAACTCTTTTGACACTGGACATGGTGGGGCACTCCTTTAATCCTTGCCCTAAGGAGGCAGAGGCAAGCAGATCTCTGTGAACTCAAAGCCAGACTGGTCTACACACTGACTTTCAGGCAGGCTGGGACTAAGGAGACCCTGCCAAAAAATTCTATTGAAACACTATACCCTTTGCATATGCTTGTGAGTTCCAACAAACTGAGAATGATTTTTAGCAGTACAGGAAAAGTATACAGCTATAAAGTTAATGCACACAAAATTTAATTAATACATGCAAGTAGATAACATGTGTTTATATTAGCATGGGGAAGTGTAATTTCCACAGTCTTGATGGATTTTCAGTGGAATTTTAACAAGCAAGCAAGGTACTCAAGAGGTTATATCCCATAAGGCATAATTTCTCATAAACTTAGCCTTGCTTTATATTGACAATATTTTTTCCTTTGTACTTATTATTAAGGCACAGACATTGAAGGTAGTAGTTTTCTTTTTCTGCTGATGAGGATATTTATTCCTCATTTTTATTAGAAGTTAAAGGTTGGCTATTTTAAATTATTAATAGTTTGTTCTAAGTTCACTTATTCCTGTGCAGTACATGGTAGTATTATATATACATATCATGTTATTAAAAATAAAGAATTCCATGAGGTGACATGGTCTTTAAAATATAGCAAAAGTGAGTATTGCAGAGTATATGTCACTTGTCTAAGGTTCCATAGATTGTCAGTGATAAAGTTACTATCTGAGGCCTGTGAGGTCCAGTGTTTATAGTAGTTCCATACAAGGTGTGGCATATTGATGCCTTAGTGAAACATCCATTCCATTATTGTACTTCTGGTCATACATTTTCTTTACAAGGTTAAGTTTCATTAATAAAGGTCTTACTTCTGCCCTGTGCAAAGATAAGGACCACATTGGAGTTCAGATATATGAGTGTATGGTCTTCATACCACGGTTTGTTACTGTCATTTAACTCACCTATTTAAGCATATGTTACTAATGAAAAGGTAGCAGGATTTATAGATAGACAAGTGGCAGGAAAACATAGGTGGGATCACATAGGAAGAGGAAGGAGAATATTGAGAGGGAGACAAACACATGGAGGTCCAATGGAAGAGAAAATAGGCAAAGTAAAGGATAACAACTATAAAATATATGAAACAGAAGGATTTGTGTTGTGAATTTATACTAAGAATTTTTTAAAAAGAAAAACAATGTAATTATCAGGATGTCTCAGCACATGTTATAGTGTTACTAATGTGTGACTGTGTGTGTGTGTGTGTGTGAGAGAGAGAGAGACAGAGAGAGAGAGAGAGAATGAGAGAGCATCAGTCCACTAGACAATGAATTCTTGAAAAAAGTTCTTTTTTAGTTATAGACAGCATGAGGCACACACAGATGGCAGGGTAAAAGAAAACACTTTTCAGATTATTACTGACCATGGATCAATGACTATTTAAAAAAATTTTCTTAGAGGGGTTCTATGCAAAATGTTTCCATACCAATTTATAAGTAGTGTCTATGCTTTCCCATTCATAATCTCCATTTATTGTGTGAACAAGATGCAAGTGACAGTACATAAACCATTCTAACAGCTGCGCTTTTTTTCTTGCAGGGTGTATTGTTCCTGTTACAGATGGAACTTGGAAATGTCACAACTGTAACCGAATTCATTCTCTTGGGTTTAACAGAGGATGCTACAGTTTCTGTCATGTTATTTGCTGTGTTTCTAGGAGTCTACTCCGTCACCTTAATGGGCAATGTGAGCATAATCATATTAATCAGAAGAAGCCCTCAGCTTCACACGCCCATGTATCTTTTCCTCAACAATTTGGCCCTTGTAGACATTGGGTACTCCTCCTCAGTCACACCCATAATGCTTGGGGGTTTTCTCAGGAAAGGGATATTTGTCCCTTTCGCTGGCTGTATAGTACAACTCTGTTTTGCTGTGACATTTGGGACAGCAGAATGTTTCCTGCTAGCTGCCATGGCCTATGACCGCTATGTGGCCATCTGCTCACCCCTGCTCTACTCCACCCAGATGTCCTCCAGAGTCTGCATTCTCCTAGTGGGGGCTTCCTACCTGGGTGGATGTGTGAATGCTTGGACATTTACTGGCTGCCTATTAAATCTGTCCTTTTGTGGACCAAATAAAGTTAATCACTTTTTCTGTGACTATTCACCACTTTTGAAGCTTTCTTGTTCTCATGACTTTTCTTCTGAAGTAATTCCAGCGATCTCTTCTGGCTCCATCATTGTGGTCACTGTGCTCATCATTGTTCTGTCTTATGTGTTTATTCTTATCTCAATCATGAAGATACGCTCCTCTGAGGGCCGCCAGAAAGCCTTCTCCACCTGCACCTCCCACCTCACTGCCGTCACTCTGTTCTTTGGGACCCTCACGTTCATTTATGTGATGCCTAAGTCCAGCTACTCCACTAACCAGAACAAGGTAGTTTCCGTGTTCTACATAGTGGTGATTCCTATGTTGAACCCTCTCATCTACAGTCTGAGAAACAAGGATGTTAAAGAGGCCATGAGAAAAATGATGGGCAAAGCTCCTTGGTGGTCCTGAAATACATGAATTTATAAACACTACAGTGAGGTTTGCTTTTTCAGGTGAAAGGAAGACACATCAATTAAATTTAAATATATATTTATAATATCTGAACATAAATGTAGTCATATTGTTATCAATATTCTTTGATTCATTAAAATAGAAACACGGTATTTTTTTTCTTTGTTTTCATCAACCATTTTTTCATCTGAATGTTCAAGTCTTTTCTCCATAAATTCTGTTCTTTGCGCGTAGTTTTTAGAATTACTACTATAGCCTCATCTGGAATCCAGCTGATGAGAATTGCTTTGCTGTCCTTGATCTTATTCTGAAGAGAAACTGTCCTGTTCTGCAGGACTGTGAGGTTTTTATCAAGAACTTCACATGGTTGAAAAGCTGCTGTTACCAATGGGATTCCTCTGTAGATGAACCCAATCCAGCCAACTCAGGAGATAACTCAGATTCTCCCTTAGCCACTAATTCTCTTTTAAGAATCTCATACAATACCCTCCAGGGTCTGAACAGGGCATTGGATCCCCTGGAGCGAGAGATCAGATGGTTGTTAACCACAACGTGGGTGCTTGGAATCTAACCCAGTTCCTCTGCAAGATCATCCAGGACTCTTAACCACAGAGTTACCACCAGTTTCTGTGGTGACTTTTGAATAGTTTAATTCCTTATTTCCTCTAAAAATAAAAATTCTTAGTTTCCTATACATTATTTCACAGAATGTCACAATGCTGAATATTCTTCCTTGGAACAAAACAAAATAATATTTTTTTTTCAATTTAAACACACTTATAGTAATATCAGCCCCATTGGGGTTTTTACAACAAGTGCCTTTATATGAATATGCTTTTAAAAAAACAATAAATACAGCATTCTAAGAACCTGCTTTTTTCTTTATGAAAATGATAAACATCAGATTAATCTTAAAGCAAGGTAAATTACATGATCTCCATTTCATTATCAGCAAAGCTTCCACAGACCTCAATATAAAGTCCCATTTCCTTAAGTGTTGAAGGAATAGCACTTAAGGCTATAGAGTTTTGAAACTGATTTTTTGATTGGAGTGTCTTCAGTTCCATCTTTTTAGCCTTTTCCAGTGATGAATTGAATCATTTATAGTCAATACCTAAGAGTTGTCAGTATTTTATGCCAAACGCTTGACTGAAGTTCATAAGAGTATTTATTGTTCCAAGCACAATAAATAAATGCCACAAGAATATTTTATGTGCTCTGGGAGTACTCATCAGCATCAAGGGGCGGGGATGGGGGGAAGAGAAGGCCACAGTGCCTGTTGAATATTTATCCAGTAGTTTTCTGGCTAACATATGTGAGTTCACATGATAAATTTTTATTTCCACTAGAGTTATTGATGAAAAAATAAGAAATAGGGGACAGGAAAATAAGAGGGGAGAGCTGAACAGAAAGAATGTGAAATCAAGTGATCAGAATTAGCAGTATTGAATGATATTTGGACTATAGCTACTTAAATTGTGGATTCAGTTTCCTAGACATTTCTCAAATTAAATTTATCATGAGTTATATATTTGCATACATCCCCTGTTCAATATCCAACTGACTTTATTTTCTTAAGTCTTAGGGGTGCAGATTTTCAGTGTTCTCTGGCCCCTGGGATGTAAAATTCATGTTTATCAAAAACTCATTTATTTACTCACTATTCTACATCTAATCTACAAGATGTAAATGAATTAAGTAAAAAATGCTATCAAGGCAAAGGTGTTATGGAAGTGAATGGCCCAGCCCTAATTCTCAGAGTGATGACCATACAGGTATGAGAGATGCATAAAGAGAATTCATTTAGATGAGCAAATGCTAAAAAAAAATAGGTGTTTAGAAGATACTATTGAGACAGAGAAATAGAAATTACATTATCTGTCAAAGCATCATAATGTTAGTTCTAGCTTTTTAAGGGAGTAGAGGGAAATTTTTTCCTTTGCATCTCAATACCAACCTTCTCTGGATTTCTACACACTAAAGTCAGTTTGGGTACAATGACTGGGAATACCTAACTTATCCAAAAGTGTTTTAATTAGGCACTGACACAGCCTCATTCTACACAGAGTACAAGTTTGGTTGCAGCCTTACAGAGTTATAAATAGGCCTTAAACCAAAGTGTGTGACAGAATGCATGATGCCGGTTTCCACGGAGGTAAAACACTAGTGGACTCAGACTAAAATGCACCTGGGATTTGTTTTCTCCCAGTGTCACAAGCTATTTCTACAGTTTCTAGGTATAAAACATACCAATTTATGTCTTATAATTCTTGATGTCATAAGTCCAATATAATTTTCTTTGAGTTGCAATCAAGGAGGTAGTAGAGCTGTGCTCATTGTGCAGGCTTTAGAAGAGCATCCATTTTCTTGTTTTATGAGGTCCTTGAGGCAACCATATTACTTGTTTTCTTTTTGGTGTTCTTGTCTGCTGTTCAAGCCCAAAAGACTTTTTTTTTCCTGTTTATGTCATACCTTTCTTTGGCTGATTGCCTTGACCCAATCTTCTTCTTGTAGGGATACTTATAATTATAGTGGGGCAACTTGGATGGTTTATTTTGTTAAATGAACAGCAATCTTAAACTTTCCTACAATCTTAATCCCTGGTTTTGTGATCATCTTAATACTTTAGTATGCCTCGTACATTTAATAGTGAAGGACATTTTACTCTCCAGAAATGTTGTCCATGAAAAATCTTCGCAGTAATTTTCTGTAGTTTATTAAAACCTACATTTCAAAGATTTTAAATATTTTATTTAAAATTTAAGTAAAATAAAATGTACGATCTTAAGTACATGATCATTATATACTGGCAGGTATATAAAACTTTGAAAGACAAAGAGCCATCATAATATGGGTCATTGCCCCCAAACTTCCTAGAATCCTCTTTAGTAACATTGATTCTTACTGTATGTAAGCATCCATCAATCTGGTTATTTTCATTATGGATTAATTTTAAATTTTCACACAAATGTAATCATATTTCCTTTTCTGTGTAAGACTTTTGGTTAAGATGATTTCAAAATTTATCCACATTTTAGTATGCTTCTATAATTCACTGTCCATTTTTACTGAATTTCAAAGTATGAATATACTACCATATCTTATCCTCCCTCTATGAATGGAAATCTAAGTTGTTTACATATTGTTATTAAAAATAAAGCTACTTCATAGCAGAAATAATTTTTAAATGATTAAAATTCAGTTTAATGGGACTGGAGAGATGGCTCAATGGTTAAGAATAGCGAATGCTCTTGCAGAGGACCTGGGTTTGTTTCCCAGTATCAGCTAACAACTGTCACTACTCTAATTACAGGGAATCTGATGCCTTCTTCTGACCTTTATGTGCATTGCATGACACAAGTACACTTAACATACATCCTGCCAATACCCTCATATACATAAAATAAATGTAATAAATAATTTTTAAAAATCGAGGAAAATCAAGCTTCTTCTCATGCTGTGTCTTTGAATTGAACAGTGAAAGTGATATGCTATATTGACCAATAGAAACAAATTCAAATGATTCAGACATCAACTGGAATATATAAGTTAGATTGGCTAAGCAAAGAGTTAGAATTTGGGTAACTATGGAATCTTCAGTTTTAAAATGTAAGTAGAAATTCATCTTTGAGGTTGACCATCCTTGAAGTTGTGATTAATTTTTTCATGTTATATCATAACAAAAGTTCTATAGGATCATCCTAGCCAAAACACACAAACTGTATCCTCAAAAGACTCCAACTTCACTGTAATATGATTGCCTTTGTGAATTTGATTCAATTTGTAGAGTTTTCAAGAGGTTTATGGGAAGGAAAAATCTAAAAGAGAGTTCTGGTCTCTTTCATAATTAGCAAGTAAAAAGAGTGATGTTGCCCTTGTGAATATGCTACACACTTCATAAATGTGCATTAATATAGAAACTTTTATAAAGCAAACCAAACTCTGTAATTCTGTCCAGCAACATGCAGTATGCTTCAGACATAAGAACGATGACTAAGATGACCCAGGCTAGGGAGTCTGGGTGTGGGGGTCCCACAATACAGCATAAGCTGAAGAAGCAGGGAGAAGGCCATAGATGACCTGTGATAGAGTATCAAGTGCTCAGTGTCACACCACAGGTTGGTAGAGGCACAAGTCAGTCAGGGGTATTGTCATAGTTGACTTCAGCTGTCAACTTAACGCAGTCTAGAGTCACTTGGGTGGCCTTGACACCCGTGAGAATGAAGGAGCAGCACACACGAGAAAGGAGGAGCTGCCGCCGCTGGTGGTGACCACAACTATGAAAGCCAGAAGGGTCTGGACCAAAGTATTCCCAGTTCTAAATGACCATAAATGCCAACCCAGAATACTTTACCCAGTCAAAAGTTCTATTATAGTTGAAGCAGAAAGAAAAATCTTCCATGACATAAATAAGCTGAAAGAATTCATTTCCACAATACCAGCCATTCAGAGAATTCATGAAGTAATACAAATTGCTGAAGAAAGGAACGACTATACTCAAGGGGCAACAGAAAGAAACTAAATGAAGGCATAACTGTTGAAACACACAGACCAAGAATGCAAGTAGAAATCAAAATGACAGGAATCAACACACATCATTACATCATTAATTACTTTAAATATCAGTGGACTGAACTCCCTAGTCAAAAGACACAGACTAGTTGAATGGATTAAGAAACAAAACCCATCTTTTTGTTGTCTGTAAGAAACTCATCTCACTTTTAAGGACAGATGGAAAAAAATATTCCAAGTAATGGTACTAAGAAAACTGCAGGAGTTGAAATTCTAGTATCTGACAAAATAGACTTCAAACTAAAACTAATCAGAAAAGATAAAGAGGGCCCTGTAGGAAACCAGGATGCTAGGCCCTAGCGCGAGGTGAGCCTAAAACTTATAGGTCCAGGCTGCATTCTCTGCTAAAGGGAGGGCCACTGAAAACAGTGGCTCTGATAATCCCTGTCCTGTAGAACACTGTTAGGATGGCAGGAGAAAGTGGC